AACTCCAGTTCCAGGGGCTCCAACACCTTCTTCTGGCCTCTACAGGCTTTGCACAACATGGGTGCACTTATACACATGCAGGCGATATACACAAAAAATAATTTGAAAAACTATTTAAACAAGAGACAAATCTCCACTGGTCATTGTCCCTCAACACCCACAGCAATGAACTCATAAAGTCAGGGATAGTGGCACATACCTGTAACCACAGCACTTGGAAAATAGGCAGGAATATCAGGAGTTCCAGATCAACCTGGGCTGCACAGTGAGACCTTGCCTCAAAAACAAAGGAACAGCGCTCAGTGCTCAGTGCTCAGTGCCATAGCACATGCCTGTAACCCCAACACTCACGGGGTAAAGGCAGGAGGATTCCTGTAAGTTTGAAGCTAACTGATCTAACACAGTGAGACCCTGTCTTAAAGATGAGGGGAAAAAAGTGGTAGTTGGGGGGGGACCTAGACAAAATCAAAACAGGGAAAAAACAAAACAGTTCTTCATTAAGAACGGATGTGGGCTTCTGGTAATTCAATACATTCTAGTGGATGGACCACACCCATGAATATATGGGTAGCACAATGCAAACTCAGTGGGTTATTTTAAAAGAGTCGGGGCTGAGAGTTGGCTCAGCAGCTAAGTACTGGCTGCTCTTGCAGAGGACCTGGGTTGGATTCCTAGCACCGACATGGTGGTTAACAACCATCCGTAACTCCAGTTCCAGGGGATCAGACACCCTCTTCTTACTTCCAAAGGTGTTGCACGACACAGGAGCACTTACACAGACGCTGGCAATACACTCATACACATAAAATAAAAACAATAAATAAAATATTTTTAAAAAGAGGACACAAAATTGAGAGGGAATGGGGAGTGGATCAGGGAGCAGTTGGGGGGAATGGGGGTAAATATGATCAAAATACACAAAATGCTTTATGAGAAATTCTTAAAGAATTAATAAAGATATAGTTTTTAAAACCCAGCTCCTGGTTAGCTGTCCCCTCCAGCCCAAATTATTCTCATTTATCCCTCTTGTTGCTATTTTTATGCTTGAATTACAGCTGCTCCCCTTTCATCAGGTTTTTAGAAAGAGTTAAACTGGAAGTTTACAATTACATAATAACTTTAAGAAAATAACTGCCCAGGTTACAGAGAAAGGGAAAGAGTGAGTAGACACCATTGTCCAAAGTGAAGATGGAGATGGAACAGATGTCTGTGGTAAGGATTTGTCACCCTTTTGCTCTCATTAATGTCCTTTTAAAAGAGGCCTGAGCCAAGTACCAGCACATGCCTGTTACCTCAGCACTTGGGAGGCTGAGGCAGTTCTGCAAGTTTAAGGCCAGCCTGGGCTCTATAGTGATAGCTCATCTCCAAAGCAAGTAAGCGTAACAAGGAACACACAAAGACAAATTAAAAACAACAGACCCCAGAGAGCCCCAGGTATGGGCCTTCACCAGACTCCAAATCTGCCAGAGCCTTGATCTTGAACTTTCCAGCTTCCAGAATGATGAGAAATAAATGTTGACTGACTATAAACTATTTCACTCATGGCATTTTGATCCAGCAGCCCAAGTATACTGACACCTGGAAAGCTTTACATAGACTGGGTAGTTGATGCTGTTCATAGTTTGGGGAGCCTCTGCTAAAACTCAAATTTCTATCAAATTACAATATAGTTAGACTTCTACTTCTAAACTTGCCACCTGAAAATGTTCTCACAAAATCTGTCACACATCCCACAAGTTTGAATTCCTTTTGCCTGCTATCCTGTATGCAAATGAGCAGATAGGAGCATATATGGGGCTTTTTTTCTTTTAATGTGTATGAGTGCATTGCCTGCATGTTTGTTAGTGCACCTGTGTCCTACAAAGCCCTCAGAGGCCAGAAGAGGGCATTGGTTCCCCTGGAACTGGAGTTATGGATGGTTGTTATCTGCCATGTGGGTGCTGGGTTCTCTAGAAGAACAGCAAGTGTTCTTAACTACTAAGCCATCTCTCCAGTCCTCTGTTTTGTTTAAGAGCAGCCCAACAACAAGCAAATGTATCTGGCCCCTCTCAGCAGTGGCAGGCCAGAGTCTCCACATGGTCACTAGAAGAGGAGGCAAAATTGTGCCTGCAGAATCTTAGAAGATTCCAGCTTGGTGTGCCAGAGAGCAAGAATGATTTAGCAGCTGTATCACCAAAAAGCCCATCTCAGCATGGGTGATGACTCAGGAAACCTGCCCTTGGCCAGCTTGCAGGCACTAAACCACTGAAGAGCCTTCTCTGCCCTAGCAATTCCTGACTGCTTACATAATCTCAGGGAGGGACCCTGTGGATCATCTAAATTTCTCGAACTTCCAGAGTATCAAGACCCTCCTCCTCCCTCCAGAAGGGAATGTTCTAATCCAGTGGAAACAGCAACACAATGGCTGATCTGATCTGAAATGTCCTAACATGATCAACAACTACGCAGATTCACTGCAGCTTTTAACAGAACACTGTGTCTTTCTAGAGTAACTGGTATGATTGCCTCATTGCAAATCACTTGGCAGGAGGCGAGGAAAATACATGAGAGCTAGATAGTAAAGTAAGAAATTCAAACCTGAAGCATTGCGTGTATATGTCTTTTAGCTTTGTTGTTGTGCTTATACATTAAGAATTTTTAAAATCCTATACTAAAGAAATGCGTTTAGCTGTAGCTATAGTAGGTGTCAATTCCCATAACTATTCTGTAGTTCAAAATCTTTCTTTTTACCTTATTTGGTTTTTTTTTTTTTGGACTATTGAAACAGGGTCTATATAGCACAGCCTGGACTCCATCTCATTATCTTCCTGCCTTACCTTTGAAAATGCTGGTACCACAGGGCATGTCACCACTACTCTGGGCTCACATGCTGGAGATTGAACCCAGGACATTATGCGTGTCGGTGAGCTGCTCTATTACCAAACTAAATCTCCAGCCCCTTTCTTTGACATTTTAAGTGGTATCATAGCATAATGCAGTCCAATATAGCACAGTAATATGTGCCATACCTAGCTGTTTTAACTTTGCCTCTGATAGGAATGTCTGAAAAATGAGAGCTATTATACGAAACATTTAAAAAAATTTTGATGCCGGGCGTGGTGGCACACACCTTCAATCCCAGCACTCGGGAGGCAGAGGCAGGTGGATCTCTGTGAGTTCAAGGCCAGCCTGGTCTACATAGCAAGTTCCAGGACAGCTGGTGCTACAGGGAGACCCTGTCTCAAAAAAGACCAAAGAAAAAAAATTTTTTTTGAGGTAGTGCTAGATCTTGAACTCTACCGAAAACTGTTCTATTTTTGTTTGTTTTGTTTTTGCATTTTTTATTGAAATTTTGAAAATTTCACACAATATATTTTGATCATATTTAGGTCCCCTCCCCATCTGTACCCCTTCCTACCCCCCACCCAGTTTCATGTACTCTGATGCATATATATATATTATATATGACACTATAGAGTCAAATTTGTGAGTCCTCAAATGCCCTTCAGTGTGGGTTCATCCACTAGATCTTACTATCTTGCCCATGCTGGTTTTGAACTTGCTCTGTAGTCCAGGCAGGCCTGGAACTTGTGATCTATCTGCCTCAGTCTCCTGAGTAGCTGGGATTACACATGCCTGGGCCACCATGCCCAGCAAGAATCTCTTAATACCTTCACCTATCCAAACAATACTTGAATTAAATAATGTCACAGCAGGGACTGGAGAGATGGCTCAGCAGTTAAAACCATGTACTGCTCTTTGCAGAGGACAAGAGTTTGGTTCCCAGCATCCACTGTCAGGTGGTTCGCAACAGCATGTAACTCCAGGGGACCTGATGCCCTCTTCTGGCCTCTAAGGGCAACTGCATTCACTAGCACAAACCCAAACACAGAGACCCATGCGTACACATAATTAAAACTAAAAATAAGATCTTGCTGATTGTATTGCTATGACTCAGTTTAACACGTTCTTTTGTTTTTAGTTGCTATATATTGGTAGCTGTATATAGAGACTTGATCAGACCTCTCTCTCTCTCTCTCTCTCTCTCTCTCTCTCTCTCTCTCCCTCTCTCTCTCCCTCCCTCCCTCCCTCCCTCCCTTTCTCTGTTGTCTGCTAATCTTTGTAATCTTAATAAACGGGTCCTTCCATCCCCTCTCCTCCTTACCTTCCTCCTTCCAGGTGCTGAAGCTAGCCCTAGCTCCATCACTAGGCTAGACCTGTACTCCACCTCTGCACTGCACCTCCACCCCACAAAGTTCCGGTTTTGGTGAAGAAGTAGTAACTCATTTTGAAACAAAACATCCCCCTTTCAGGAGGACGTTGTGGTTGATGACGTCTGTGCCACATAGATGCATGGTTGAGAACCATTAAAGAAAAAGAAATGGTAATTTTAGAATGACAAACTCCATACCACCTTCCGCTTCTCTAGGGCAGGATTGCCTAGACCAGCCTAGGCTACACAGTGAGACCTTATTTCAATCTCTCTCCCTCTCTAAAACACACACACACACACATACACACACACACACATACACACACACACACACACACACACACACACACAGTGTTTTCTGTATTTTTTTAATTTTAGTTGTCACACACTCCCAAATTTTCCCCGAAATTTTAGTTCCAGAAGGCAGCCAAAGTTGGAGCAATAGATAAACTGCTATTAAAAATTAAACGAAACTTGAGCCAGCTGCCATTTAATCAAGCCAGAGATCTTCAGGACTCGGTGGAGCGGTAGCCACCCCAGTACTCCACCTACACAGAGGCGTTAAAGCAGCAGCCTTATCTAACTGCAGGCCTTTCCTTCCCTTTTCCCCTTCTCCTGGGCTCGCGGAGCGGCCACCAGCAAGCAGAAGAAATAGCCGGGACTCGCAAGGTGCCCGCGAACCACCAGATCGCAGAGGCAGAGCTACGGGGTCCCAGCTGCGGAGTCCTAGCCCTGCGTGGCTCTTCAAGCCATCACCTAGCCCGAGGCCGCCTGGGAGGGCGTGGCCTTTGCGGGGGCGTGGTCTCGAGGCCACGCCCCTACCCCGCGTCCCTGCCGCCGTGCCGGTGGCCGCGGACTGGAGCTGCGGCGGCCGTCACCTCGGACCGAGAGGAGGCCGAGTGGGTTCGCACGCCGCTGCTATGGGGAACCGCGTGTCACGAGATGACTTCGAGTGGGTCTACACCGACCAGCCCCACGCCGACCGGCGCAAGGAAATCCTGGGTGAGGACCGGCGCCCCGTTATGTGCGCGCGGCCGTGTGCGGCCCTGCGCGGCCTCCCGAGCCGGCCGTGTGCGTGCTGCGGACGCCCGAGACCCGTTACAGCGCTGGGGTGCAGCGCGGGCTCGCGGTGCGGCCGGCGGGGGCTCGCGCGTCCCCGCGGGCCCTGAGGCTCTGACGCCGGGGACACCCCTGTAAGCCGAGGGTCCCAGGCTGGGCGACCCTCGGCCCGGCCTTCCAGCGCCGAGGGTCCGTGTGCTCGGGTAGGCGCCCGCCCCGCCGCTGCTGCTGCTTCCCCAGGGGCTCCGCGCGCACGGCGCAGGGCGTGGTCCGGGGCATCCCGGGCCGCTGGGGCGGCGCTCACGTAGTCCAGTCCCCAGCAGGCCGAGGGAAGGCCCTGCCCTGTGACCCCGGCTCGCACACTAGAAGGCCCCGGGTTCGCCCTGAACCTTGGGATCTGCAGCCAGTCTTAATAAAAGGGAACGGTGCGCCGCTTGGCCTCCGGGTCTCCAGCCTGCTCCTGGAGGGCCTTTAGGCCAGGCTAGGCCTCACCCAGTGAGTCTGGAGAATGTTTGGCGTTTCCACATAAGGTAGAGAATTGTGTTAGCACTCACAAGGTACTTAAGGGTAGTAAGAGTCGGATTGAGAGTTTGACAAATATTACCCAATTTAATGCTCCCTTCCCTGTAATTCGCCTGGGCCGGTATTATAAAAGGCGAGGTAAAGCCTAAGTTAATACTGAGGAGGATCCCATTAGATTGCAGTCAAAAAATATGCTTTGTATGTACTTATATATTTAATTTTTTTTTTCTGATGCTGGAGAGTAAAAGTGTTTTTTTAACTTATGCCATTCCTTTAAAACTTGTGGAAACTGGCCCGGTGAGGGGGCGTACGCCTTTAATCCCAGCACTCGGGAGGCAGAGGCAGGCTGATCTCTGTAAGATTGAGACCTGCCTACTCTACATAGCAAGTTCCAGGCCCCCTGGGGCTACAGGGAGACCCTTTCTCAAAACAAAACAAAAAAATTGTGGACCATTGAATATGAAAAATTCTTTTTTGAACCCACCATTTCCCTAGTTTTTCTTAAAAATTTTTGCCCAGTGGAAAAAAACAAGGAAGGCCCTGATTTCTGCTGGAGTGTCTAAATTTAGAAATTTCATGTTTCACTAATAAGAGGGAATGATGCTGTAGAAAGGGATTTTTTTTTCCCTTGTGGAGTTCAAACAGGGAGGGCCTCCTGATGCTAGCAGGCTCTCTGCTACTGAGCCACACTCCTAGCTTCTGAAATAGAATTTGTGAAATAGAGTCACTTCAGTGAAGAGGTGACCTTTCCTAGTAGTGCTGTAAGTTACTGGGGTGCTTAGGTTTCGATGGTGAGTACTTCATTGCTGTGATAAAACACCCCAGGGAACTAGGGAGGAGGGCTTTACTTTGACCTGTGGCTTGAGGGATTTCATTTGATAGTCATTTGCTCCATTGGTTTGAGGTTGGGGTGAAGAAGAACCCATGGTGGAAGGGCTAGATAGAAAAGAGCTCTCCCCAAGGCAGCCAGGAAGCAGTGGGAGGGGGAAGGGCCAAAGCCTGTCTTTACAGGGCAGTCTCCAGTGACTTGCTCACCTCCCCTTGTGCCATGGTATTGTTAATCCATCTGATTAATCTGTTGAGTAGCTAGGGACCAGACCTCCAACACTTTCAGGGAAATACCTCATATCCTAAACTAGAGCAGATTTTCTTTCTTAATTAAACCATGTATTTTGCAAAAAATCATACACATTGGATAGGGTAATGTGTACAGTACATTTTCTCTGTGCCTTAACTACATCTCAGAAAATCAAGGAAGGAAGAGGATGCAGATTGGCACTTAGCATGGAGCCTTTTCCCCATGAACATGTCATCACTGAATCATTTCACTTGGGAAACTGAAAGGACTTCATATTTCTCAATGTAAATATGCTATTTGCCAAGCAGTTGTAAATAACTCTTCAGTGTTCCATTTCAGGGTTTGAATTGGAATTCCTTAGGGAAAATAAGAATCTGGAGGTTAGGGGCTGGAGAGGTGGCTCAGCAGTTAAGAGCACTGACTGCTCTTGCAGAGGACCGGGGTTTGATACCCAGCACCCACATGGTGGCTATGAAGTCCTTAACTCCAGTTCCAGGGGAATCTGACGCCCTCTTCTGACTTCCGCGGCATTGCACAACATGGATGCACTCACATACATGCAGGCAATACACTTATACACATAAAAAATAATAAATTTTTTTTTTTAAATCTGGAGGTTAGTTTAACTGACAAATAATAGGGATATTTCTGAAATTTCTGTCAGGATTATCAACACAATAGGACATAGGATGTTTATTAGCCAATTCTCTGTAGTTTATTTTTAGAGGACTGGGGTGTATCTTGGTGGTAGAGTGCTTGCCTTCGGTTCAGTCAAAATAATACAGAGAAATAATAGATTTATATTTATCGTTGACATTTAAAGTTTGTTTGAAAAATATCTGAAAGTGTTGACACACACCTGTAACCCTAGCTATTCAGGAGGCTTAAGGAAGGGAATTACAAGTTCTGAGGTTAGCCTGGATAACACAGCAATCAATACCCCTTCTAAGAATAAAGTGAAATTAACTAATTGCATCTGTGGGCTGGGGCTGGGGCTCAGGGGAAAAGTACTTACCTAACATGCTCAAGAATATGAATTTGATTAAAATGGTATATGTTTGATATTAATGAGGAGTATAGACTAGACCATTATTAGTGGGTCAAATAAGAATTAAATCATAAGTCACAATCAATGCTTCCTTTACTGTTGTACCTTCAGCATGAAACCTTTTAAACAACCTTATTAAAATACAAGTCATTGGTGACACACATCTGTAATCCCAGCACTTGCAGTGCAGAGACAGGTGGATCTCTTGTGAGTTCTAGGCCAGCCTGGGCTACATAGTGAGACAGTGTCTCAAAAAGGGGAGGTGGACAAAATAAAAAATCACATCATAAAATTCTCCAATTAAAGTATATAATCGGCATTTCTGTGTATTTAGAGTTGTGAAGGTATTTCCACTCATTTCCTGTATTCCCTACAATTACCCTTCAGTACTAGGTGACCACTAACCTATTTTCTTCACAGGTTTGCTTGTTTGGGACATTGCACATACATTTCACAGCAATGCTTAGCTTTTCCTGAGTGTCTTCTTAGACTGAAGTTCATCCATGTTTCTACCATGTGTCAGCACACCATTCCTTCTTTGTACAAATAATAACTCCTTCATATGGGTTATACCATATTTTACTTAATATCCTTTTCATAGGCATGTGGACTGTCTCCCTTTTCACTGACTTTATTTTTGCCTCCTGTCTTATGGTGGGCCTTCTGGAATTATAGATGTGCACCAACACATGGAACCTTTTATGTGGATTTCAGGGATCAAATTCAAGTTGCCAGGCTTGAGCATCAAACACTGGTACCCACTTAGACATCTTACCAACCAACCCCCACTGGAGATTGAACCTTGGAACTCATACATGTTAGTCAAGTGCTCTACAACCGTTAACTATTACAGTGGGTGTGAGCTCATATCTATGGTTTCAGTTTGTATTTTCCTAATGACTAATCATGACAATAGCTTTCTTTAAAAAAGAAAGAAATTTCTTTGGCTATTTTAAATTGAATTCTTTTTTTTTGTCTTTTTGAGACAGGGTCTCCCTGTAGCCCCAGCTGTCCTGGAACTCACTATGTAGACCTGGCTGGCCTCCAACTCACAAAGATCTGCTTGCCTCTGCCTCCCAAGTGTTGGGTTTAAAGGTGTGCACTACCACGCCCGGCTTAAATTGAATTCTTAATTGTAGCTTTAAGCGGTCCTTACCTATTCTGGATACAGTTCATGTACAGAGTGGATGACTTGCCACCATGATATCTTGTGTGTGTTAGATTGTCTTTCTTTGATGGTACTGTTACAGCAGAAAAGATTTCATTGTAGTCAGATTGATCTTTTTTTTTCCATTTGTGCTTTTGGTACAGTATGCAGAAACCACAAAGAGTCACACATATTATTTCATTATTTTGCATTTTATAGCTTTGTTATAATTAGACCTCTGATCAATTTTGAGTCCGTTTTTGTGTGTGGTGTAGGGAGGAGGTCCAGCTTGATTATTTTGCATGTTGATAATAGTGGTTTCAGCATCATTTATTGAAGAAACTGTTCCTTCTCTGTTTGATTATATGAGACCCTTACATGCTTGGGTTGAGGGGTGTCTTGTTATTTCCTTTTGAGAAAAGGTCTTACTATGTAGACTAGGCTAGCCCAGATTTTGCTAACCTTCTGCCTCAGCGTCCTGAATGCTGAGATTACAGATACGTGCTACTATGCCCTATTGGTTTTACAGCTTTGTGGAAAATTCAGAACAGAATTACTTGAAAGACATTGATTTGTCTGAGAGAACCATGAACATAAGTTTCATGATTTGGGGATGCCTATAAAAATGTATGTTATGTTCTGTCTTTTGTCAGATGTATTAATTTAATGCTATACATGAGAAATATGCTAGAGCTTTGTCTAAACATGGATACAATGTAGTTTAATACAAAAGGATTATATTGAATTATTAAATTAAATCTTGCGTAAATTACCTAATTGTTGTGTCACAGTATTTTATGACTTTATCAGAATATATTCCTTCCCTGTAGGAAATGAATATTTGGTAAAATCTGTAATAGAACATTATGGTTCGGAGAAGGAAGAAAATCTAATTTATGATAATTGCTGAATTGTTATGTGCTTCTCTCTTTTCCTGATTTTCTCTATTTTTTTTTCTTACAGCAAAGTATCCAGAGATCAAATCCTTAATGAAGCCAGACCCCAACCTGATCTGGATCATAGTCATGATGCTCCTCTCCCAGCTGGTTGCTTTTTACTTGGTGAAAGACATGGACTGGAAATGGGTAATTTTTTGGGCCTATGTCTTTGGCAGCTGCCTTAACCACTCAATGACTCTGGCTATCCATGAGATTTCCCACAATTTCACCTTTGGCCACCACAAGGCTCTGTGGAATCGCTGGTTTGGAATGTTTGCCAATCTCCCTATTGGGCTTCCATACTCTGTTTCCTTCAAGAGGTATCACATGGATCATCACCGCTACCTCGGAGCTGATGGCATTGATGTGGATATTCCTACTAATTTCGAGGGCTGGTTTTTCTGCACCACTTTCAGAAAGTTCGTGTGGGTTGTTCTTCAGCCTCTCTTTTACGCTTTCCGACCACTGCTCATCAACCCCAAACCAATTTCTTCTCTGGAAATTATCAATACTGTGGTGCAGGTCATTTTTGACATTATAGTGTACTATGTTTTTGGAATTAAATCTTTAGTCTACATGTTGGCAGCATCTCTACTTGGCCTGGGTTTGCACCCGATTTCCGGACACTTTATAGCTGAGCATTACATGTTCTTAAAGGGGCATGAAACATACTCATATTATGGACCTCTGAATCTTCTCACCTTCAATGTGGGCTATCATAATGAACACCATGACTTCCCCAACGTTCCTGGGAAAAACCTTCCACTGGTAAGTAAATGACTTTATACTCTATATCTAATGATTGTATAATAAAAATTAGTTTTTGATTTGCTCATTTAGAAAGGAATCTTTTATCAGTTTAAGCCATAATTAAAAAACAAAACAAAATATGTGTCCTATATCTGCCAGCCTAATTTAACTAAGGATTTAGCATCTTCTGTATTGAGTCCTTAAGCTTAGCGGTTGTACTTAGGGCTCAGAAGTGTTGGGGGGTGTGCAGAATTTTATCTGGTAAAGTAAGTCAGGACTAGAAAAACAAATCCTTCTGTTATGTGAGCATCAGTTAACTTCATCACTGCTAAACTGTTAGATTTGACTAAGACATGAGTTTGGGTGTGTTTTATAAATTTTTTTATTTATTATTTCTTATTTTATGTGTTTAAGTATATTGTCTGCATATATGTAAGTGCACCTGTGTCGTGCAGTGCCCACAGAGGTCAGAAAAAGGTATTGGATTGCCTGGAACTGGAGTTAGGACAGTTGTTAGCTACCATATGGGTGCTGGGAATTGAACGTGGATCCTCTGCAAGAGCAGTCAGTGCTCTTAACCACTAAGCCATCTCTCTAGCCCCTGGGGTCTGATTTTGATTTTGTGGTTTTTTTGTTTTGTTTTGTTTTGGGTTTTTTTTTTTTTTTGGGTCTTTTTGAGACAGGGTCTCCCTATAGCCCAGCTGTCCTGGAACTAACTCACTGTGTAAACCAGGCTGGCCTTGAACTCACAGAGATCTGCCTGCCTCTGCCTCCTGAGTGCTGGAATTAAAGGTGTGCGCCACCACACCTGGCCTGATTTTGTGTTTTTATATACAGATGAAACAACTTGCGTAACTGATCTGCAGAGTGAATGCACATCAGTGCCAATACCATACTCCCCAGGCAGGGACAGGTTCTCTCCTTGATGGCGGACTTTTTAATGTATTATGAAAAATAATGAAGTAAATAAGACATTTCAGCCTTCATCCCTTCATCTTTTCCAAAAGTGACCATCCTCTATCTTGTGTTGTCCTCCTGGTGAATTCTCTCACTTGCCTTCTATCCTCAAAATGAGCAGCTTATTCTATGAAGAAAGCTTTCCATAACTCTGAAAAATGATAATAGATATGAAATGTAATTGTTCTTGATTTGTTTTAAAGCTATGATGCGTATAAGGGAACCCTAACCAGATACTTCATACCCACTCAGATTTTTAAATACTGGCTGTTTAAAACTCTCATACAACGCAACAACCAAGTGCAACATTGGAGCTGGTTAAGGAAAAAAAAATACTATAAACATTGGTTCAGTGGTTAGTTCTGAATCTGAACCATACCTTAAAAAAATATGTTAATGTGAGATTGGGAAATCTACATCACATCTGGGAAGGCATGACAATGATAATGGCTTTGTAGGAGAGATGTCCTTTGGAAATACTTGTTGCATTATTTGGGATTGAAATATTAGGGTTAAGTTGACATACAGCGTCTGTAACTCACTTTTGAAAGGCTCAGCAAAGGAGCAGCATGTGGGTCTACTATGTATATGGTGTGCATAGAAGTAAGTATGTCATAGGACTAATTGGCAAGCAGGTGAAGAGCATGTAAATGTTCATTTCAGTATTCTCTCAGCTTTTCATTTTGGGAGAAAATAGCACCCAAGTGTCTGAAGACAACTCTGAACTGTGGTGCAGTGTGACATTAGTCTCCGGCCCCTTGGTATCCTTCCACCAGTGTGTGGCAACATATGTTTCCCTCCCCCATGACTGGGAAACTGAACTTTTGTTATTTTTAGAAAGGGATTAAGGAGATTTCTCTCTTTTGTTTAAGGAGAAAAATCAGTCACCTATTGCACAATTTTTTTTCCCCAGCATGAACTATACTTGCATTTTTCTGAAACAGTCCTGGAATTAAAAACTTAGCTTAGTTCAGACTTAAGGCTCATGACCACTCACTCCTCTCCCTCTTCCATGGTATCTTCTTTATTCCTTTGCTAAATTAATAAACATCCCTAGAGTTTGAAAGCCCTGCCTTTCCAGTTCTTTCTACAGTAGGTGTACATATTAGGAATTTTGTTTATTCACTAACTACCTGGCATTTCTTACATAGTTCTAATAGTTCATTGTATGACTACTGCATGGTTGATAGGTGTGCAACATAAAGTGATTTTAAAAATCAGTTATATATGGTGTGTGGTGTTGTGGTGTATGCCTTTAATCCTAGCATTCAGAAAGCAGAGGCAGGTGGATCTCTGAGCTCGAAGCCAGCCTGGTCTACATAGGAAGTTCTAGGCCAGCTGGAACTACAGGGAGACCGTGCCTCAAAAACCAATTTTACACACACACACACACACACACACACACACACACACACACTGTACCACCTAAAGTGTAAAATTCAGTGGTTTTAGTTAATAAGGTTTTTATTGTTTTGTTTTTTTGTTGTTGTTCCTGAACTTCTTCATGAAGAACTTCAGGATGTCCTGAAGGACCAGGAGCAAAAGCACTGTACTTTGTCTGCTTTGGAATTTTGTCCCTCTCTCTGTCAGACATTCATCTGTTACCTTGCTGGGCCTCAGTAACATTCACTGTGCACCTTGCTGTGTTTTTTCCCTTCTAGGTGAGGAAAATAGCAGCTGAATACTATGATGAGCTCCCCCACTACAATTCGTGGGTGAGAGTACTGTATGATTTTGTGATGGATGACACAATAAGTCCCTACTCAAGGATGAAGAGGCCTCCAAAAGGGAACGAGGTTCAGGACTAAATGAATGAACACTGTCAGAGCCAAAGGAATTCCTCTCCAGAGCTTTATGGTAGCTGATAAGTGGAATTTCTTTCTTGTTAAACTTCTGATAAGTGATGCTCAGAAGCTGCGCTGGCACAGTTCCAGCTAGGACCTCCATGATGTCAAGAGGCTGCCCCCGCTTGAAGCAGGCAGCTCAACTCCTGCACTCACCTTTGCTCATTCATTGTTTTATCGTTACTGAGGGTGTCTTTACCCATGTCTGTCATATTATAAGCATATCATAAAAAGCTTATTGTTATTTTCACTCTATAAAGTTTTACTTGATTAAAACATTTAATAAACTGAACTGTTAATCACAGTCTATTAATACTCACTGCATTTTTGTGTTTTAGTGTCTGTATGATACAGTCACCAGGATCCTGAGGGAATGCTTTAAGATTTCATTAAAAATTTCTTTAAGACTTGAGCTCATACAGTATTGTATACCCATTTCCTCTGAATTGAAGGGAAGAGGAAGGCTTGAAGACTCAGGAAGTACCCCATCACAAAGTCCCTCCCCAGTTTAGAAAGACAGTAAGAATCTGCTGGGGAGAGGATACTCTGGTGGCACTGTCCGAACATCAGAGCTCCAGGAATGCAGCTCTTGTGAGTCATCACCTGTGCTGGGGTGGGCTCTTCAGGGATGCAGCTGCCTTTCAGTCACTTGTGCTCCTGAGTAGCCCCTCGCCCACACTCCTGTAAGTAACCCCAATAAACTTACTGGTTTACCAAGCTAAACTTGGGTGGAATCATTTCTTTGATCTGTCTTTGTTATGTGATCTAGAATGGACAGTTTCCATGTGGGCCCAGGAAAAGTCATACACATGTAAAAGGTTGAGATGGAAGTGTCTCTTTGTAAGCTGAATTACTGTTTAGTTTTTACTATTATAATGTTTATAATGTGACCTAAATTAGACACTGCTGGATCCTGAACTGCCTTACTCATGAATAAAACCCTTAATAAATTTAATTTCCAGTATTCAGCTTATTCTTTCAGTTCTGTTGGCTTATATCATAAACAGCTCAGCTTGTACACCTTCGTGTCTGTTCATTGCAGCAGAAACTTGGGCTGCTGGTAGGTGGTAGATCTCAAGTAGCAACATCCTGGTCTGTTAGGCCGGCAGTACTGGTTGCCTCAAAAGTGTCAGTTAAGATAATATAGTATAATGTGGGGGTGTAATGTGGGAAAATAGTTTTAGAAAATATCTGCTGTATTACAGCTAAAGTGTAGAGGAATGAATGCCTAGTCAGCTGAATATAGCGATAGGATCCTATGGGGTATAAACTCACTCTACACTTCATGTCACCCACCCCAAAGCACTTTGTTCTTCCTTTCTGACCTTCTTGCCTAGGGAAAGTCTTGCTAAAGAACCATTTATTTGAAGTTCAGAGTAATTCAGATCTACTCAGTCACTACAAATGCATGTGTGAAACATTCCCACTGGTTTAGTAGAATTAGACAGCAGAACCCTCAGCTCCCTTGACTGTAGCACTCTAACCCATCACTGTAACTGCCACTTTGGTGCTGAAAACTCCCTATCTGTTGTCTCTGTCCTCTGATAGCTCCACTGCCTGCTAGACACAGAGAGGGTGTCATCACCCTCCCCAAATGGCTTTTACGTTACATTATCAGCTACCTGGGTAGAGGTTTCAGACTTCCTGACAGGTCTGACTAGCCCAGCTCCCATTAGCCTGCTTCGTCCATTCTTGGAACTCCACTGATAGGGGCAATAGAAAGAACCTTCCAAGGCCTGAGAGTTCTCCTATCTGCCTCAATACTATTCATCATTTCTGGACTGATTAGTAGATTGAGGTATCAGAGCTTACCCCAGCCTTCCCCGATGCAGCCATGTCCCACAGCAGGTTAGAAGCCACTTTTCCAAGCTGAAAATCACCGATCACCCTCGTGGCTCTAATACTGTGTAAATGCACCATCACCTTCCCCTGAGATGGTATCTCCTTAAGGGAGGGAAACCTTTGATTTCTGTTCCCAAAACTGAACAAGGTCAGTGCTAGACTTGAAGTAATTGGAGAACTTGAAATGAGGCCAGTTCTTGAATTTGGGGAGCTTTATCTAAAACAAAAAGCCAAAGACAGTGTGCTGGATAGCTTTAGTTGTCAACTTGACATATCTGGGTTGAGGGAGCTTCAGTTGGGGAATTGCCTCCATTGGACTGGCCTGTGACCGTGTCGGGCTTTTTCTTGATTGTTGAGTGATGTGGGAGGGCCCAGCCCACTGTGGGCAGTATCACACCTGGGCAGGTTGTCCTGTATTACATAAAAAAGCAGATTGAGCACAGGCCAGGAGAGCAAGCCAGTAAACAGCTATCCTGCATGTTCTGTGTTCCAGGTTCCTGCCCTGAGTTCCTACCTTGGGCTCCCTCAGTGATGAACTGTGACCAAGGAAATGTAAGATAAATAAACCCTTTCCTTCTCAAGTTGGTTTTGGTCAGAGTGTTTTGTCACAGCAATTGAAAGCAGACTAGAGCAGAAATTGGTACCAGAGAGTGAGCTACTACTGTGACAGACTTGACCCAGTTTGGAGGAGGATTGTAGAAGAAGCATCTTTGGACTGGAAAAGCCATTGAGCTGTTGCTGTGCTGTGGAGTTTGGAACAGTTCTGCTCAAAGAGGTGTAGATGATGGAGGTCTGGCTTGTGAAGCTTCAAAGGGAAGTAAAGATTTATCAGGGCTGTTTGTGTGATAATTTGGACTGAGAAGCTGTGGTTTCTGGTCAGCTGGGGCTGAAGAATCAGCTGTGATTAAGAGACCAGCACCACTGAAGTGAAACCTTTGCTTTCCTGGCACAATTGATGCTGGTTAGCTGGGCCTGAAAAATCAGCTGTGAGTAACAAGAGACCAGCATCACTATGGCAAAATCTGGGAAGTATTTCCTCAGGGTTAGCACATAGAAGCTGTGGTCCAGAGGGAGTCCAAGTCTCCATCTCAAGCTGGAAGCAGGACTTGGTAATGTGTAAGTCTCCTGCATGGTTCTGGTGTTGAAGGGGTGAAAGGGTCATGAAGGGAATCTGAGGCTTTGCACCCTGAGTGTCCAGGAATGCCTGTTGGTGAAGGTGCAGCCTCGCTTTCACTAGAGACCCTAGCATATTGGAGATGCCAGAACCATGGGATGAGCACCAACAGCAGCAACAGGTATGGAGTGGAGCTGGACTGAGCCTATGAGATGAACTGTGTGTGCTGTGGACAGCAGAGTCAGAGAAGTGGAGGTACCCAAGCCCTTTGGAGCCCAGAAGATCATAAATTCCAGATGTCCAGCGTTGAGCTACTTTGCTGGACTTTGGTTTTGCTTAAGTGTGCCCAATTTTTCCCTTTTGAAGTAAGAGTACTTGTTTGGGATTTTCCAGGAGCCCACAGTTAAGACTTACTAAAAAATTATTTCATGTGTATGAGTGTTATGCCTACATGTAGGAAAGTGCACCTGCGTCGTGCAGTGCCCATAGAGGACAGAAGAGGGCTTCGGATCCCCTAGAACTGCAGTTACAGATGGTTGTTAGCTGCCATGTGGGTGTGGTATTCGAACCCAGGTCTTCTACAAGAACAGTCAGTGCTCTTAATGCTGAGATATCTCTCCAGTTCCCAGTTAAAAGACTTTTAAAAGAGACTGAACTTTAACATGTTTGAATTTTTTAGGGACTGTGGAACTTTTAAAGTTGAACTGTTTTATGTTGTGATAGTAACATCATACCTGGGGGATAAGAAACAGAAAACTTGTGGTTTAATAGTGATGTTTGTGTGTCTAGTTGACAAGGGGTCAATTGTGCTGGATAGCTGTAGTTGTCAACTTGACACACCTGGGTTGAGGGAGCCTCAGTTGGGGAATTGCTTCCATTGGACTGGCCTGAGGCCATGTCTGTGGGGGCATTTTCTTGATTGTTGAGTGATGTGGGAGGGCCCAGCCCACTGTGGGTGGTGCCACCCCTGGGCAGAGGTGGTCCTGTATTGTATAAGAAAGCAGGTTGCACACAGGCCAGGAGAGCAAGCCAGTAAACAGCTATTTTCCATGGTCTGTGTTCCAGGTTCCTGCCCTGAGTTCCTACCCTGGGCTCCCTCACGATGAACTGTGACTCAGGAGATGTAAGATAAAATAAACCCTTTCCTCTCTGAGTTGGTATTGGTCAGAGTGTTCTGTCGCAGCAACTGAAGGCAGTTTAGAACAACTGAATATTTGTATAACCTTTAGGAAGCAGTATACTGAAAACAGCTGCTATTTATTGAGTATCCTTTTTTACTGAACCCTTTATCAAGTGTTTCCCATCTGTTATCTGCAGTGCTGGGAATGGAACCCAAGGCTTCCTGTATGCTAGGTAAGCATTCCACTGAACTATACCACCAAACCCCAGTGTTGTCTTATTGGCATTGCAGCATCTCTATGATTTGTCATACTATTACTATTTTATTTTGTAGATAAAAATTTGGAGCTTAAAAATTAATTGAGCTGTTACATTGAGTAAATTGTAGAAAATGGATCTTAAATTCAGACCTTGTGTCTCTAGCACCAGAACTCTTGACTGTGCTTGACGTGGATGAGGCCTGGTCTTGGAACAAGAACGAGGATGTACACATGCTCCTATCACCACCTCACTCCATTGCCTTACTACCTCCTGGGCACTAGTAGTTCTGGTTAGATCTGTTTGGTTTTTTTTGTAGACCAGGTTGGCCTTGAACTCAGATCTGCTTGCCTCTGCCTCCCAAGTGCTGGGATTAAAAGCATGTGCCACCACACCTGGCCTTCTGTGTTTGTTTTAAAA